TTTTTTTTTTTTTTTTTGAAGAAAGATCGAAAGTTTGATGGGCTTAAGTATATCGCGGTTGTCTAAGTGGTGTGGTGACCACTCTTTCATTGAAAATTGCTTAACTTTATTTTGGTCGCAAAATTTTAATGGAATTAATGTGATGGAAAAGTGTGCTCAAGAAGAGTTGAAAAGAAGCACTTTGGAAATAAATTTAATTAGAAGAGTATTATAAAACTTTTTACCCTTCTTTCTTCTGTTCTAGGAATGACTGATTAAACCAAAGAGCAAAGAAACTAAAAATCTAGGGTGATTCGATTCTGTCTTCTAGTCTCAAAAAGGAAATCAACATTTCTTTTTGCAATTCTTATTACCTTGTCTATCATCGCACTTCACTGCGGAATACTTCGTATTAACAGTTAATAGATAATAGTAAAGTAGACCATCATGATTCTTTACAGAGTAGTGTTAAGTGGATGACGAAGTGATGTCAGCAGATTTCAGTTGAACGCTGTGTAAACAAGCAGAACATGAATTTAGTTAAAATAAGAAAGCAAACCTCGAATAAATTACGGCGGCTATATTATGCTTTACAAAATTTAAAAACCGAAAAGTTCAAGCCCAGTGTGGATTTAGAAATTAACTGAAGTGTACAAAACATAATTTTCGCGTGAGCAATTTTGTCAGAGCATTCGTACTACCTGTCACAGTTTATGTCATTGAAGAGAACACTGAGTTAAGTAAACTGAAAAAACCAGAACTGAGCTTCAAGCAATCTTAAATGCCAATCATTAAGCTAGTTTGATAATTTGTTGAAAGTTTAGTTTCATCTCCAAACTCTCCAGAAGGTAATGCCTGCAAAAACTTTTTTTGAGCTTACTTTTTTGACAAGAAGTTGGTAAGGGCCATTTAGGAAGAAGTAGTTTCATCTAATTGATCAAATCTCATTGATCATCGTACGACACTCCGTCCAAATAATCGCTCAGTAGTCTTATAACATCAAATGGAAGTTTGTAATTTCAGCTGCTGGGATGCTTGTTCGAGCGAAACAGTTTAACAGCTCTTCCATGGACTCTGCCCAATTTGACGGGTGATTAATGTATAAAAACTATTAGATTAAATACACAGCAACCCGAACTACTATTCTCGTTGGGAAAGCAGTCATGTGTTTTTGGTGAAATGAAAGTGAAAATGAATGGTATTAGGCACAAGATTTGGTGATAAAAAGTGACATAAGACGACTACAGTTTTCATTAAAAAAGTAGTAGACCGACGGTTGGAGATTAGATCATCAAAAAAGAAAAAAACGATACCTTTTTCGACAAATTAAAAGTCTATTCTTTAATAAGTCCAATATTTTTAAGATTTAGTCCTCAACAACTGCCGCCTCTAAAAATTCCAAGAGTTGTGGTTGAAAACAGTGGAAATCCCATTGGCATCGATCAGGGGAAGAAAATCAATCAAAAGCTGCTTGTTGACTAAACAGACAAAAAAAGTCCAACATAGCTTTTATTGGAAAACCGATAATACACGACTGCGCTCTTTGCTGCTACTGAACGTCGACAGCCCCGTTCGGAAAAGTCAACAAGGAAACGCAGTTACATTCTCATCGATGGTGACACCCAGCGAGGCCAAGACGTTACTGTTGTAGTGTCCACATACTTCCAACTTTCCTGTTCCCTTTGGTCAAAGCTATTCGACGTATACTTCGCTGTCTCTGTTCGTTAGGACCAGACAAGTATGAAAAGCAGCTTTACTTCAGAGTTTTGCGCAATAAAATTTTTAAATAAACTTTTACAATAGGTTTTAACAATTTTGCTTTGTGTGAAGAAATTTCTTGAAATTTATAAGGAAGAATACGGCAACCTTTAATGTACCACGCATGTTGTTTTTGCTAGCTTCCCTGGAAGTTGAAGTTTATTGGAACTGGCGAACGCTGAAATGAGCAAAAATCAATTTTTCTGCCATTCGACTGCCAAACTCCACATAATGCTATCTTGTTCAATATCCTTTTTATGGCTTGCATCGTTCTTTTTGACTTGCTTTTAATTATACAGACTCGTAGAAACCCCACTGCTGCAAGAACTTCCGGCCGGACTTATCCGTGATTCGTTGAAATGTGATGGTAAGATTTGTTTCTAAAATGTCAAAACGGGCTGAAGAATTTTTGTTATATTCAGAATTCTATCGACATCGACAGCTTTGTAACCTTTCGTCAGATCATCAGGAACAAAGAAAATAATATCTTTTCTGATAGCGTGCATTAATCAAATAACTGCCCTTTTTCTGTGTATCTCTTACAGTTGTAATTTGTATGATAACAGGATTATATCAGAAGAATCGTAAAGTGACTTTACTTGTTGGTAAACTTCCCTTTAACTTAGTCGGAATCACGACTATAAGTAGAGCATTCAGTCATCTTTTCTGCCATTTTCAGCAGTTTGGTAACTCTATTCTTTGAAATTATAATGGCAAATAAATTATTTTCGTTGCCAATTCGAAATTGAAAGAGACAAAAATTATCAACCCTTCTCGGCTCTTCTGATCATTTAAGTTTATTTTTCCGTTCTTATCCGTTGTCTAATTAGTAACACTCGTGTGCTCAAGCCATGAAATGAGTAAAGCGAAGGGACTTTAAAAGAAAGCTTGTGGTCGCAGAGGAATTAAAAACTGACTGTGTAAAAAGTGACAGAAGGTGGCAACTGAGGGACATCTAACGAGTAACGAGAGGGACCGTGCCGAGCACCCATGCGACAAATTTCTACCTCTTTAAAGTGACAAACTTTGACCTGCATATCAGCGATCAGGCTACTGGTGCTTTCCGTACTTCCTTCCGGTTCAAAATCGTTAGTGAGTCTTGGAAACTTTTGTTCTGCTTTCCCCTCAGACGCCTCCTATTACTAATTTCGTCCTCTAAGTTTATCCATTTCTCATGTTTCAGTGTAACTACTTTTCTTCATGCTTTACATTATTTTAATCGTGTCTAGAACTTGCCTCTGCCACTGCACTTCTCTGCCGTGCTACGATCAGCAACCAATCCTCCAGCAGCACAAATATGACTGTCCGGTGCTGGTGTGCCGGACATTAGGAGAAAAATATAGCCTTCTCTGAATATTTATTTCCTCAATAGATACTAAAATAACATCGGGCAATGCAAAAAGAAATCCTGTAATTTGTTTTATACGTCAAGGAAGTAATGGATGAGAAAATTTTGCGTTGGTATTTTAGAAGTTATTCCTGCTGCGAGTTGAGTGAGACAGTGATTTTCTAAAATAACGAGTGGGAGCTAAGGGAGTTCCACAGAAGACAGTTCAATAGCTTGGCTGCTGATAGGCTGGCCAAATTTGGCACTTTAAGACTTTCAGAGGTATTATGAGGCGCCCCAGCGCAGCTGCTCTAATCATTCTTAAAGAGTTCGTCAAGGCTTGTCGCTGCATCATTTTTCTTTCAAATGCGAGATTTTTCAAATAACTCTGCTATGCATGTTATGCAGGGGAAAGGGTTTGGGTGGTCTCGTCGAAGAATAAGTCCATACAGGCAGAAGAATCAAGGCATGAGTAAACAAACAGCTTTTTCCCCGTATTAACAACCGTATTTGTCATTTTGCCGTTACAGTTGTGAGGAAGGAAGCTATTGCGACTTTGTAGTCTCTATTTTGCTTTAAAAACTAATGCTAAACCTGATGAGCCACTGACCAGTCTGACCATGAAGAGAACAGAGCGCAGTTTCGTGGTGAAGTGCAAAAATTATCGCTTTCAGTAAATAAAGAGCTTTAATCTGTTTTTGGCTTCTCTAAAGCAAATCTAACCTTGACATTCATACGAATTATTATGAAGTTTGGCTCTAATATTTTGCAGCAGTGATTTCGTAAATTAGTCTTCAACGCTTTCACTTTTCTACGGGTTGACGTACTCATATGCTTACGAGTAGGTGAAAAACAAAGATGAAGGACATAGAAAAAAATTTTAACAGAACGGCACTAAGTTGGATTTGGTAGTTCACCGGCAGAAAAAATTGATTTTTACTCGATTCAGCACTTGCCAGTTCCCATAAAAATCATTTATAAAAAACGACAACAGAAGCAACATGTAGGGTATATCAGAGGTCGTCATATTTTTCTTAAAAAATTCCAAAAGTTTCGCACGCGACAAAAATGTTGAAATGAGCTTTAAAAGTTATAGTCGAGAGGCCCCTTCAATAACCATATAGCTGTTAATTGGTAGAGCTAAAAGATGAAGAATTACACATATATACTTACTATTACTGCAATCAGTTAAACGTTTTATATCACTGGTGACTAGCGAATAACAAAAGTTGTCGGTATTACAGGTTGTGACTTCCGGTCGGCGGCAGGTGAAAGCCGCAGCAGCTCAAAAATACGGTTACATGGTTATTGTTTGAAAAAGTCAGCTGATCTTCAATGTGTAATAAGGTCTATAATTGGATAAGAAGAAAGATGAAATGTTAGATCTCATCGCTTTGGGAGAGTGCCAATGCCGTCAGCGACGTTATATCGCCTGTTCGGATTGCTACAGACGAAAAAGGAAATCTTGGGAAGTCATTGCAAGCCAAAAAAGATTTGAAAAAGTTAGCTGGTCTTTAATGTGTAATAAGGTCTATAATTGGATAAGAAGGAAGATGAAATGTGAAATCTCATCGCTTTGGGAGAATGCCAATGCCGTCAGCGACGTTATATCGCCTGTTCGGATTGCTACAGACGAAAAAGGAAATCTCGGGAAGTCACTGCAAGCCAAAGCAAGATTTTTGGGATTTAAAGTATTCAAAAGTGGCTCTGTTTAATTTTCTTCTGATTTTGTTTACTTACATAAGCATTCATTCATGTTTATTGTGCACTTATTTTTGTTATGTGGTTTTTTGAATCAATTTTTTGCATGGAAGCAACGGGTTTGATAACGATTTATCTATGCAGTTAGAAGGTGGTTGAGGGGGTATTTCTTTCCTGTTGCGTAAACTCAAAAAAAAAAGATACTGTTTTACGTGTTTTCTTCATACTGCTATCCTTTCTCAAATACATTTTGCTTCATTTTTTATTGGTTTTGAAAAAATATTTCAAAAACAACGACTTTAACCTCAATCACTGAAGTTTTCGTTGTAAGCTTCTGATTCATCATTTGTAACCTTTACTGGATTGTTGTAATTTCTTCATGACCGTATTCATTTCAAGGTTCTCCTTCAACTTTACAGCGCATAATGGCAAAATTTTCGACGATATATTTACAATTATAAACACTGGGCATTTGCGAAACGCCGAAACTCTCCTCGTTTTAATTGCAATTTTGCTGTTTCTATATCGGAACGAAGTGGAATAGTGCAAATTTTGTATTTATGAATTAGTTCTCTAGTTTTAAACTGACTATTTCTTTCAAGGTAATGGCAGGTCGGGCATTTCGGATCTTATACCGACAAGACCCGAACTTGCCATTTAGTGTTATTGTCGATTGTAACCGCACTAATCAGTCACTACTGCTCGAGTCGTCAGCTATTCTTACCCTAAGTAAAGTTCTCCTATCATATATCCCTTCCTGAAATGTAGTGTGTGGTCATCAGGAAGAAGGATAAACTGATTCAAAGAAAATTTTTGTTACATTTTGGTGTTTTCAGCAAATAACGCATCAACTGAAGAGTATAAGAAATCCTATACAAAATTAATTGACGGATACGGTTTGTTGGGAATTTTGCAAGTCTCCAAAGGTAGTTTTATTTAACTTTTTGTATTAATTTAATGTGCTTTCTAGAAGTGGAAAAGTGTTTTATTGATAACTAAAAAATTCTATGAGAGGTATATTTTAAAGATAGAAAACCTTTTTTTTTTTTCAAATTCGATATTCTTTCACAGGAGCTGTTTTTGTGGCTTACGTAAACTTAGGACATAATTGCTGAGTGTATTACAGAAAGTTTAAGGAGTCGGGTTTTTGCAATAAAACCCGCAATCATCACTTTAAAGAGAGAAGAATGAGGTTATTATGGTCCAGTTTAATGTAATATGGGTTATTGGGAAGTTCATTATTCATTTACAGATGACCATTTTTTGTTAGTCGTGACGGGTGTGTTGTCAATGGGACAGCTGCATAACTGCGATGTATATCGAATAACTAATGTTCAGTTTGTATCCTTGAAGTCTGCTGTTTCTGAATTTATTGATCCGCGGATCAGCGAGGTAGATCAAAAAAAGAACTAAGTTTTTAATTTACTCGTTGAATCTACTTTTAACTTTTTCCTTCTTCGTTTACTTTTTACTATTAGTTTCTTTAACAATAAATTTGAAGATTTTTCGATTTTCTCCGTTAAACTTCTCTTCCTATCTTCTTTTTTTTTGTTTTTTAAGAATTATTTTTTAATTTTATTCAAATATTTACTTTTCCATTGTTCGTTTTCTTTCAGCTTCAGCGGCTAATCTCCTCTGGTATTTTTTACTTCGCTACTTCTGTTGATCAAAAGCACCTTATTGACCTTACATTGACAGCTCAAAAACGGATGGCAGGAGATACAAGTGATGACCGTTTTTTCTGGTTAGGTTTCTGGAAAACGAGAGATACTTTTTTTTTTAAAACGCTGTTTTTGAGTTGTAAAACTATTGGTTTAGAAATTTGACTTTTACTGGCTTCAATGATGTCATCTCATCTTTCTACTAAGGGTGAGATATTGATCTTGTTTTTCAAATTCTTTTTAGGAACAAAAATTTACATTTTCCACTGGAGCACTATGGTATAGATACTTCTGACTGGCTTATTCGAATCATGTGTGGAACTATTCAGATTCGGCTAGTGTATATTGGTTGTAAGACGGCAAAAGTAGCAATTCTGTCGCGCTTAAGTCGTGAAAGAGTAGGAACCCGTTTTAATGTTCGCGGTGTAAATGATCACGGGCACGTCGCTAATTTTGTTGAGACTGAGCAGGTGTGTGAGTAATTTGACGAATCTATGGTTATTGGGTGTGATAGTTTTTTAAACTTTTTGAATGCATATTCAGCTGCTTTTATTTTTTAGTTAATTATTTATGAAGGAAATGAGACTTCTTTCGTACAAATCCGGGGTTCCGTGCCGTTGTTTTGGGAGCAACCGGGCATCAATGTTGGGTCTCATAAAGTGAAAATTCGTGCTTTCGAGATTTCGGCTCCAGCTTATGAACGGTATTGTTAACTGTGGTTTCGGGTATTTCCTAAAAACTTATGTGTTATATTTTATTACAGTTGCTAATTTCTTCTTTTCATTTACTTCATTATTTACTTCGAGGATCCTTTCGTACATGGCTGTGACTAATAATTTACAATTACAGTCATTTCTGTTGTTTGAAGAAAGAATACGGGAAAATAGCCATTATTGATTTACTAGGTTCCAAGGAAGGCGAAAAACTTTTGTCTCAGGCATATAGAGTCAGATCTTATCTTTTTTTTGTGAATTTTTTATCATTATAATATTGGATCTATGTCAGGTGGTGAACTTCGTGTAAGATGATTCTGAATTGTTTATGTCAAACGTTACGGCTGTTTTTATTAATAAATACTTAATATTTTAAATTTAATATTACTTTTCATACTGATTTAAATTTGCAAATCACTCGAAGTTTTTGTTACAGACACAACACCAAGGTTCTAGTCACAAAGACGTTGAATATATTAGTTTTGATTACCACGCACAGATGAAGTCCTCTAAGGATTCTATAGCGTATTTGATAAATAGGTTGAAACTGACAATAGAAAAATTTGGCTTTTTTCACGTGTTAAATGATCGTGTAACCAGGTTAGTGATTATATTTTTGTAGGACTGAAGTTTAATAAGCCTAACCATGCTCGAAAAAGATTTTCTCAATTCTCCACCTTTTTACTCCCTTTAACGATAAAACCTTGAAGATGGGATAAAAATATTTCAATATGTGGTAATATTTTCTGGATATTCAGGTCTCAGTGTGGGGTTTTGCGTACAAATTGCCTCGATTGCTTAGATCGTACGAATGCAGTTCAAACAGTTGTTGGACTTCAGGTCAGCAACTTATATATATGTATTACAATTTTTACAATTGTATTTTAAAGTGAATACCGAGTTGGAGGACTAAGGGTAATAAAAATAGAAGTTAAAGTTTAGGTTCTTGCCGCTCAGCTTTCTTGTCTTCCTGCTGAAGCCATGAAACCTAATATTGTATCCAGATTTGAAGAAATGTTGAAGGATTTATGGCAAAAGAATGGGGACTTTTGCAGTATCATTTACGCCGGCACTGGGGCTCTAGAGGGCAAATCAAAGGTAGCTAATTATTGAACAAAAAGCAATTGTTTGCGACAAGTGAAAAGGTTCTCTTTAAGTGCTGACTGTCATTTTTATATAAATTATGCAGAAAAAGTTTTCAGAAATCCGGCTTTAAGTGGGAGTTATTAATAAGGGGGTTTTGAACGTTATGAATTACAATCTTTTTGGAGGACATGTTACACCTCTCATTAGTTCCTATAGCAAGAAGGTTGTCTGATTTTTAGCATTGCCTAAGAACATGAGTACTTTTAACTGGTCAAGATGAGTTAACTGTTATTCAGGTGTGAAAGAGATTTTTGGGTAGTGCTTTATTCCAACAGGCCAAAATACGGTATAATAATTTTTGATCGTTTTCACTGTCCATTGAGCATTTTTACTAGATTAATGCAAAGTTGCTTTAAATTTTCCCTGTTGGTTGTGGGATTTTTCATAGGAGTTCTAAGTTTTTCAGTTCAAGGATGCTGGTCGTTCTTTAGCGCGCACTATTCAAAATAATTTGATGGATGCATCTAAACAAGAATCATTTGACCTTCTTCTCCACGGAACTTCGTGCAGCAGTCCTTTATATGAGCATGCAGAAGACTTTCTTCCTCCAATCGTTCTTTACGGTGTGGACTTCATAAAATTATTGCTTTTTTTTTA